GAGTGGGAGATACGAGTGAGTGCATAATAAACCCAGTGATGAGCAGGGGTTCCGTGGGGACAATAAGGGAACACTGTATCAACATCCGGGCTCCCAGACTATTCAACATCTTACCAGAAGATATCAGAAACACTGCTGGGACAAGTGTAGAAGCTTTCAAGAGGAAACTGGACAAGTATCTTCACCAGGCGCCAGATCAACCAGGCTGTGATGGATATGTGGGGCAGCGGGCCTCCAGCAGCAACAGCCTGGTTGACCAGGGAAGTACCAGACGAGCCTGCCCCATGGCCGGGCTCCGAGAGCAGTTAAACTCTCGAAACTCTTCAATAGCATATATTCCTCAATACTAAGGCAGTGTTATTAACTGGACCATACCACGGGCAGGGACAGAACCCGCGGTCAGAGAGTCATTAAACAGCAGACAGACGCGTTAGCTCTGACTCTCTGACCGAGGGTTCTCTCACCGCCCGTGGTATGGTTTGACTGCAATCGTGTCATTACGACTTCGTGAGTCATCTAATTTACTGTTTTCTTAAGAAATCTCACTGTCATTAGGTAAGGTTTGTCAGGAAATAGGACAAGTGTTTCCTGACGCGGGTCTCAGTCACATGATGACCCGCAGCTGAAGCTTTTGGTCACCCAACCGAGGCCTTCCACTGGCTTACTGGTCCACCCAATTTGAAAGTTAAAGTAATAATTATAACCAATTTTTTATCTATGTCTCTGTTATTCCTGCCATTGTCTTGTGTTGCAGTCATTGCTTTTGTTGGCGCTTGTCTAACAAAAGCTTTGAAAAACACACACTTCATAGTACTTTCTTCTTACTTTCATTCTTATTTTATTTATTTCTATTTTTTTTATTAGCACACTGGCAGGGTGGCCACCAAGGCAGGGTGGCCACCAAGGCAGGGTGGCCACCAAGGCAGGGTGGCCACCAAGGCAGGGTGGCCACCAAGGCAGGGTGGCCACCAAGTTAGGGGGGCCACCAAGGCAGGGTGGCCACCAAGGCAGGGTGGCCACCAAGGCAGGGTGGCCACCAAGGCAGGGTGGCCACCAAGGCAGGGTGGCCCGAAAAAGAAAAACTTTCACCATCATTCACTCCATCACTGTCTTGCCAGAAGGGTGCTTTACACTACAGTTTTTAAACTGCAACATTAACACCCCTCCTTCAGAGTGCAGGCACTGTACTTCCCATCTCCAGGACTCAAGTCCGGCCTGCCGGTTTCCCTGAACCCCTTCATAAATGTTACTTTGCTCACACTCCAACAGCACGTCAAGTATTAAAAACCATTTGTCTCCATTCACTCCTATCAAACACGCTCACGCATGCCCGCTGGAAGTCCAAGCCCCTCGCACGCAAAACCTTATTTACCCCCTCCCTCCAACCTTTCCTAGGCCGACCCCTACCCCGCCTTCCTTCCACTACAGACTGATACACTCTTGAAGTCATTCTGTTTCGCTCCATTCTCTCTACATGTCCGAACCACCTCAACAACCCTTCCTCAGCCCTCTGGACAAAAGTTTTGGTAATCCCGCACCTCCTCATAACTTCCAAACTACGAATTCTCTGCATTATATTCACACCACACATTGCCCTAAGACATGACATCTCCACTGCCTCCAGCCTTCTCCTCGCTGCAACATTCATCACCCATGCTTCACACCCATATAAGAGCGTTGGTAAAACTATACTCTCATACATTCCCCTCTTTGCCTCCAAAGACAAAGTTCTTTGTCTCCACAGACTCGTAAGTGCACCACTCACCCTTTTCTCCTCATCAGTTCTATGATTCACCTCATCTTTCATAGACCCATCCGCTGACACGTCCACTCCCAAATATCTGAATACATTCACCTCCTCCATACTCTCTCCCTCCAATCTGATATCCAATCTTTCATCACCTAATTTTTTTGTTATCCTCATAACCTTACTCTTTCCTGTATTCACTTTTAATTTTCTTCTTTTACATACCCTACCAAATTCATCTACCAACCTCTGCAACTTCTCTTCAGAATCTCCCAAGAGCACAGTATCATCAGCAAAGAGCAACTTTGACAACTCCCACTTTATGTGTGATTATTTTTTAACTCCACGTGTCTTGCCAAGACCCTCTCATTTACTTCTCTTACTATCCCATCTATAAATATACTAAACAACCACGGTGACATCATACAACCTTGTCTAAGGCCTACTTTTACTGGGAAATAATCTCCCTCTTTCTTACATACTCTAACTTGAGCCTCACTATCCTCGTAAAAACTCTTCACTGCTTTCAGTAACCTACCTCCTATACCATACACCTGCAACATCTGCCACATTGCCCCCATATCCACCCTTGTCATACGCCTTTTCCAAATCCATAAATACCACAAAGACCTATTTAGCCTTATATAAATACTGTTCACTTATATGTTTCACTGTAAACACCTAGTCCACACACCCCTTACCTTTCCTAAAGCCTCCTTGTTCATCTGCTGTCCTATTCTCCGTCTTACTCTTAATTCTTTCAATATAACTCTACCATACACTTTACCAGGTATACTCAACAGGACTTATCCCCCTATAATTTTTGCACTCTCTTTTGTCCCCTTTGCCTTTATACAAAAGGAACTATGCATGCTCTCTGCCAATCCCTAGGTACTTACCCTCTTCCATACATTTATTAAATAATTGCACCACCACTCCAAAACTATATCCTCACCTGCTTTTAACTTTCTATCTATATCCATCAATCCCAGCTGCCTTACCCCTTTCATTTTACCTACTGCCTCACTAACTTCCCCCACACTCACAAATGGCTCTTCCTCACTCCTACAAGATGTTATTCCTCCTTGCCCTATACATGAAATCACAGCTTCCCTATCTTCATCAACATTTAACAATTCCTCAAATATTCTCTCCATCTTCCCAATACCTCTAACTCTCCATTTAATAACTCTTTTCTCCTATTTTTAAACTGACAAATCCATTTGTTCTCTAGGCTTCCTCAACTTGTTAATCTCACTCCAAAACTTTTTCTTATTTCAACAAAATTTGTTGACAACATCTCACCCACTCTCTCATTTGCTCTCTTTTTACATTGCTTCACCACTCTCTTAACCTCTCTCTTTTTCTCCACATACTCTTCCCACCTTGCATCACTTCTACTTTGTAAAAACTTCTCATATGCTAACTTTCCACCAATCGCTCCTCTTCCCTCCCGCACCCACTTTCCTGTAACCACAAACTTCTGCTGAACACTCTAACACTACATTTTTAAACCTACCCCATACCTCTTCGAGCCCATTGCCTATGCTCTCATTAGCCCATCTATCCTCCAAAAGCTGTTTATATCTTACCCTAACTGCCTCCTCTTTTAGTTTATAAACCTTCACCTCTCTTTTCCCTGATGCTTCTATTCTCCTTGTATCCCATCTACCTTTTACTCTCAGTGTAGCTACAACTAAAAAGTGATCTGATATATTTGTGGCCCCTCTATAAACATGTACATCCTGAAGTCTACTCAACAGTCTTTTATCTACTAATACATAATCCAACAAACTACTGTCATTTCTCCCTACATCATATCTTGTATACTTATTTATCCTCTTTTTCTTAAAATATGTGTTACCTATAACTAAACCCCTTTCTATACAAAGTTCAATCAAAGGGCTCCCATTATCATTTACACCTGGCACCCCAAACTTACCTACCACTCCCTCTCTAAAAGTTTCTCCTACTTTAGCATTCAGGTCCCCTACCACAATTACTCTCTCACTTGGTTCAAAGGTTCCTATACTTTCACTTAACATCTCCCAAAATCTCTCTCTCTCCTCTACATTCCTCTCTTCTCCAGGTGCATACACGCTTATTATGACCCACTTTTCACATCCAACCTTTACTTTAATCCACATAATCCTTGAATTTACACATTCATATTCTCTTTTCTCCTTCCATAACTGATCCTTCAACATTACTGCTACCCCTTCCTTAGCTCTAACTCTCTCAGATACTCCAGATTTAATCCCATTTATTTCCCCCCACCGAAACTCCCCTAACCCCTTCAGCTTTGTTTCACTTAGGGCCAGGACATCCAACTTCTTTTCATTCATAACATCAGCAATCATCTGTTTCTTGTCATCCGCACTACATCCACGCACATTTAAGCATCCCAGTTTTATAAAGTTTTTCTTCTTCTCTTTTTTAGCAAATGTCTACAGGAGAAGGGGTTACTAGCCCATTGCTCCCGGCATTTTAGTCGCCTCATACGACACGCATGGCTTACGGAGGAAAGATTCTTTTCCACTTCCCCATGGACAATAGAAGAAATAAAGAAGAACAAGAGCTATTTAGAAAAAGGAGAAACACCTAGATGTATGAATATATATATGCATGTGCGTGTCTGTGAAGTGTGACCAAAGTGTAAGTAGGAGTAGCAAGATATCCCTGTTATCTAGCGTGTTTATGAGACAGAAAAAGAAACCAGCAATCCTACCATCATGCAAAACAGTTACAGGTTTCTGTTTCACAGTCATCTGGCAGGACGGTAGTACTTCCCTGGGTGGTTGCTGTCTACCAATTATTATTATTATTATTATTATTATTATTATTATTATTATTATTATTATTACTGTTGTTATTATTACATTATTATTATTATTATTATTATTATTATTATTATTATTATTATTATTTTTATTATTATTATTATTATTATTATTATTATTATTATTACTGTTATTATTACATTATTATTCGTTTTATAGATTTTATTTGTATTATAATAATTATTATTATAATCATAAGGGCCACACAGCTACTGGGGAATGGAGAGTAATCAGGTTTGATCCTAGGAAAGGAATATTAGCTCTAATTCCCTGGATCAAGAACTCTTCGCTAGCATCACGGTATTTCAGAAAACGTGGAAATGTGACGAAAAAATTAATGCTCTCTTTTTTTCATTTGATATTTTGTAATTATTATTTTGTAACTGATATTTTGTAATTGTTATTAATTTGTATGTATGGTGGTGTTACAGGTCCTCGACCGAGGTTAAGGGACCACTATCGTGCCCACCAGCTGGCGCTGTGGACCTGGCTGGTCCCACAACTCCAGCGGGTCGGTCATTTGGAGTTCCTGACCTTACGCGACCCGGAGTCGGAAGACGTAAACCCAGGAGGACCAACTTCAAGAACTGTCCGTGTTGCACCACTTGTTCTCCAAACACGACGACCACGACCTCTACTCTGGGGTGGTGCGTCCTCTACAACACATGGCTGGACACTACATCCTTCCCTCTACCACTACTACATCAGAACTCCTCGTTACCACACCTTCCTCTCTTTCTAACTTCTTCAGCACGCCGAGAACCACACTAAACATTTCAGACCCGCGACCGTTTCCGGACGTGACGCCGAACGATAAAATCCACGCTGAAGCGACAATGCCCGAGGCGGTAGACTACATCGCTTATTCTACCGCCCTCTCGGTTACAATAGCCATCGGAGTATCGCTACTAATCCTAAACATTTTGATTTTCGCTGGTGTGTATTATCAACGCGATCGATCGCGTCTCGGGGATAAAACTGAGCAGCAAAGTCAGCAGAACAGCCAAAGCAGCAGCGAACAGCAGATGGCAGCCATTAGTTCAGCTTCGGGTCCTATATTAGGGTCAACTATAAACTTGGAGGTGACGAAGTCGCCTTTAACAGCGACATCCTCGCTCAAAGCTCCTCTCTCACCCTTGACACACACTCAGCCCTTTACGCATATATCTGAGTGTCCGCCCGCCTTCGCTGACACACCCGTCAGTCGCGAGGCGGGTGGGCACTGTATCGCTGTAGCTCCACCTACTATACCAAACGGCAGCGCTACTCTTGTAGGTGGCCAGCCGCAACAGCAGCAGCAACAACAGCAACAACAGCAGCAACAGCAACAACATCAACAGCAGCAGCATCAACAGCATTTACAACACCAACAGCAACTGCAGCAGCAGCTACATCAACAGCAGATACAGCATCAACAGCAACTGCAGCACCAGCATCAATTACAGCAGCAACAGTATCAGTTGCAACATAAACAAGTGACGATGCCTCGGCCACCGCCACCGCCTCGGCTGATGCCTGCAGAATCGCAGCCGCTACTTCCTGCGCACGTGCCGGCTCCACCCAGAGGCAAGATACCACCGTACGAGGAACTCCGAGTATGATGGCGGCGCCCTCTGGTGACGGTGTTATCTGCTGCCGAGCACCTCCAGGGAGGCACCCTGCCTCCCTGCACGCCCCTACAGCACCACCCTCATGCTCAGGTCGTTGACTACTATGGCGGAACGTTCTATGATGGACAGGACATGACCACCTCTTTCCGTAGTGACGAACCAATGGTGGAGATGCGGGGTTTGGATTGTGTCGGCAGCTCGTTAACGTGGCCTCGCAAGGCCCGTGGACCTCGCACCTGGCCAGAGGGCGATCCAACTTGCCTGCAGATGCAGCACGAGCACCAAGGAGCTCCGCGCTCCTAGCAATAAGAGGCCGAGTTTGGTTTCGGACAGTAGTGAGGTGATTCCGGACAGTTCTGAACATCTTCCCAGTACTGCTGCTGCGCTCACCTGCATATTTATACGTTTAATAAGTTTTTAAAACTTATCTATGTGGAAGTGTGCACTTTTTATATGTATGTGACTTATAATTGTGTAAAAATTGTGTAAATACTACACAGATAATTTATTGACATGTTGCAAATTACAATGTTTTCAATAAAACTTGCTAGTACACTAGAGTTTATTTGACCCTTACACTGTGTGTGTGTGTATGTGTTAATTAAAGTACTTGTGAATGATCGTGTATGTTCTTCATACTACGTGTGTATGATTTCTACGTCCCACATTTTGTGTAAGTGTAACAAGGGAGTCCCGTGGCTTGGTTAGCAAACACGCCACACACATTGAGTGTCCGGGGTTCAATCCTCGGCATGGGTGGACACGATAATACAAGTAAGTGTAACATGCTTACACCTGCTTCCAAGGCAGGACGCTGTTCCCGGTACATATTTCCCAGCTATTAACCAAAGATTTCATTTGTTTTCACCAGTCTAGGGATTTGGTATATGTTCAATACGCACCTAATTCTACTGAATAAACAGCCCAGGTAGAATAACACCTGTAAGCTTGTAAATAAGCCGAGGTAGAATAACAGCTCTAAACTTTTAAATAAGCCTAGGTAGAATAACAGCCTAAGCTCGTAAATGAGCCTAGGTAGAATAACAGCTGTAAGCTTGTAGATGAGCCTAGGTAGAATAACACCTGTAAGCTTGTAAATGAGCCTAGGTAGAATAACAGCCTAAACTTGTAAATGAGCCTAGGTAGAATAACAACCTAAGCTTGTAAATGAGCCTAGGTAGAATAACAGCCTAAGCTTGTAAATGAGCCAATGTAGATTAACAGCCTAAGCTTGTAAATGAGCCTAGGTAGAATAACAGCCTAAGCTCGTAAATGAGCCTAGGTAGAATAACAGCCTAAGCTCGTAAATGAGCCTAGGTAGAATAACAGCCTAAGCTCGTAAATGAGCCTAGGTAGAATAACAGCCTAAGCTTGTAAATGAGCCTAGGTAAAATAACAGCCTAAGCTTGTAAATGAGCCTAGGTAGAATAACAGCCTAAGCTCGTAAATGAGCCTAGGTAGAATAACAGCCTAAGCTCGTAAATGAGCCTAGGTAGAATAACAGCCTAAGCTCGTAAATGAGCCTAGGTAGAATAACAGCCTAAGCTCGTAAATGAGCCTAGGTAGAATAACAGCCTAAGCTCGTAAATGAGCCTAGGTAGAATAACAGCCTAAGCTTGTAAATGAGCCAAGGTAGAATAACAGCTGCAAGCTTGTAAATAAGCTGAGCTTAGCAAGGATTCAAGGTTATTTTACCGTTTTACCGCTTGAGCAAAGATTAAAAAGAACACAAAGGCACAATACCGTGGCAGGAACATTACACAGATAACCAGCACATAGGCCCAAGTCGGACCGAAACGTCATCCAGAGTTTCTCTCTCATATGTGCCGTTTATCTGCGTGTCAATGAATATGCCTGTACTCAAACGTAACTCAACATGTACTGTCCAGTTTATCTCTTCTAAATTCGTTCAGGAAAGATAAAGTGAAAATGACTCACGAAATCGTAATGACACGATTGCAAACAAACCATACCACGGGCGGGATTGAACCTGCGGCATGGAAGGGACTTGAGCTAGAGTTCGTCACGGCCACGCTAGCTGGAGATTTGTCTGTAAAAACTTGCATTTGTGGCTACAGTGGTGCCTGTGCTAACCTTCCTATGGTGTAGAAATATACCTAGTTGGACGAATCTTATTGTGGCTAGCTGGTCCAGTGGCTAACGCGACGGTCTGGAGTTTTGAGACTCTCTGACCGCGGGTTCAATCCCGCCCGTGGTATGGTTTAAAGTGAAAATTATTTAAAGTAATTTAAGGGAAATAACAGTTTCGCTTTATTTTACACATACAAAGGTTAAAGCTACACCGACACTTTTGGATTTGACTCTCCAAAGGCATAGATTTTTTGGCACTTTTTTATTTAAATGACGATTTTAGGAGTTATCTCAGTCATTCCAGGATATCTGGAGTGTCTAGAAATGGTTTTGGGGGGTCAACGCCCCCGCGGTCTCGAGGGCCTGTGAAATGGTTTAAAAACTTTCGTTATAGTTCTTGTAAACATGCCAATTGCTCCAAGAATTTGGTCCTCGTTACCGTACACTTGTGTTGAAAATTTGATTGGATGAGACGTTCTCGATCTCTGAACGAAATAAAATGGAAAAGTTGCAGGAAGAAAATATAAAAAAGTCAACCTCATAAAGGTATCCCTTCGGGGATACCTAATTATTCAGATTATTACACCACGATTTACGAAATCGTAATAACACGACTACAAACAAACCAGTGGTTTATAAGGCTCACTGTCCATGGATTTAGTTCTCCGCCGTTCCGTGGTTTATAACACCAACTTGGCGTCAGGTTAAGCAACATACGCACTGAGGTTCTGCCATAACGACCTTTGCAAAAAAATCTGGAAAGGAAACCAAATAATCTGGAAAGTTAATTAAGTAATCTGGGAAAATAACGAAACACTCTGGGAAAGTAATATCAAGAACAAGAATATAATTGAATACTTCATTAAGAAAAACGAAGTAAATATTCAAACGACTCAAGGCAACGAGTACATTGAGAGACAACACAATAAGTGTCCTGGGTCCAAGACTGTTCAACTGCCTCCCAGCATACATAAGAGGGATTACCAATAGACCCCTGGCTGTCTTTAAGAAGGAGCTGGACAGGCACCTAAAGTCAGTACCTGATCAACCGGGCTTGCGTGCGGACAGTAGTAACAGCCTGGTTGATCAGACCGAGAGGCCTGGTCTCAGACCGAGCCGCGGGGGCGTTGATTCCCGAAACTCTCTCCAGGTAAACTCCAGGTAAGACTCGTATAAATAAGGAAGAACAGATATACTTTGCGGTGTATATCTCTCACAGAGGTATATATCTTTTATAGAGGTATATATCTTTCACAGAGGTATATATCTTTCACAGAGGTATATATCTCTCACAGAGGTATATATCTTTCACAGAGGTATATATCTTTCACAGAGGTATATATCTCTCACAGAGGTATATGTCTTTCACAGAGGTATATATCTTTTATAGAGGTATATATCTTTCACAGAGGTATATATCTTTCACAGAGGTATATATCTCTCACAGAGGTATATATCTTTCACAGAGGTATATATCTTTTATAGAGGTATATATCTTTCACAGAGGTATATATCTTTCACAGAGGTATATATCTTTCACAGAGGTATATATCTCTCACAGAGGTATATATCTTCACAGAGGTATATATCTTTATAGAGGTATATATCTTTCACAGAGTTATATATCTTTCACAGAGGTATATATCTTTCACAGAGGTATATATCTCTCACAGAGGTATATATCTTTCACAGAGGTATATATCTTTTATAGAGGTATATATCTTTCACAGATGTATATATCTTTCACAGAGGTATATATCTTTCACAGAGGTATATATCTCTCACAGAGGTATATATCTTTCACAGAGGTATATATCTCTCACAGAGGTATATATCTCTCACAGAGGTATATATCTTTCACAGAGGTATATATCTCTCACAGAGGTATATATCTTTCACAGAGGTATATATCTTTCACAGAGGTGTATATCTTTCAGTGTATATAGGAATTAAAGTATTCGTGACGGGCGGTGACGAGGTTATATACACTAGACAAGTGTGAAGAATTCAATGAATCAAGATCCCAAGATGTTGCTGAGTCTGACAATGTGTCTCATTTAGTGTCTCAATTATCAACTTGTCGGTTTTTCAAGCCACTGAGCCAGCTAGCCCAGTGGCTTGGAAGACTGGCTAACGCGGAGCCTGGAAAACCGACGTGTTAACCACTGGGCCAGCTGACCCAGTGGTTAACGCGTCGGTCTGGAGTTTTATGACTCTTGGACCGCGGGTTCTATCCCTACCCGTGGAATGGTTTATTTGCAATCGTGTCATTACAATTTCGTGAGTCAAGAAAGACTTTTGACTTAACCAAGAACGAAAATAAAATAATGATTAGAATTTACTTAATCCCTTGGTTTCCACGTCAGCTTTACATGTTAATGGCTCATATATTTGTATTAAAACATCCATTAAAATTATTTTATACCGATTCTAGAATATTTAGTAGTTTCTCCTTCATACTGTCAGATTCTTCTGTTTTTCATTTGTTACTGACGGTGGGTTGTCAGCATTTGTTACTGACGGTGGGTTGTCAGCATTTGTTACTGACGGTGGGTTGTCAGCATTTATGGCCGAGTTTCTCATCTTTCTTTACCTTGAATTTCAGTTATAAATATTTTTTGATGCAAAACGTGTAGTGCCAAGAGTAGTGAAGAAAAACGCGTCAGGACAAGCTTTTATTGGGAGAGATTGCATACCAAGCTTTTATTGGGACAAGTTGCATATCAAGCTTTCATTTGGACAAGTTGCATATCAAGCTTTCATTCGGACAAAGTTTCGTTCTTCATAGATCTTTCTCAAATTATGCATGACAGTGCCTCTTAGAACATCTTCACTGGACATAATTCACTCCAGGAATATTGGTCATTACAAATGACACGAGAAAATGAGAAAGCATAGGATAACAAGTGTAAAATGCAGATTACTGATAGTCATATGAAGGCATCTGTCTTTCGTCTTGGAAGCAGCAGTTAAGGATGCTGCTTCCAAGACGATTCCTGTAAACCATTCCAGTAAATTCCTGTAAATCATTCCAGCGTTGTTCCAGTGCATGAGATGGCCCTCTTTACATCTGTGTCGTCTCATTTTCGTGTTTTTAACACGTGTAGAAACATTCCTATCCGTTTCTCACACGAAGATCTTGTTGCATCGTCCGTATGCCATTTTACTGATGCGTGTGTCAGAGGTATCTTTCTTCCTAGTGATTTATCTGATGGAAGACGTGTCCATGATAGCTAAGGAAGGGCTTGCGAAGTGTGGTTAACCTTTTTCTCCTCCAGGTTGATAAAAGACCCTAAGTCTCTCGTTGTGGATGCTGTTAGAAGAGTCGAGTGTATTCGTAGCTCTGCGTTTGCAGTCTTGTGTAAAGTAGTGAGGGAAGTGTAAACGTGTGAAGGCACGGGATATGTTAAGGATTTTTCTTTTAAGAATTTTGGGACTGAAGACACAGCAACCTCCGAGGTCAA